ATCTGAGGACATTTGACAGGAACATCGAAAGACTGTAAAACAGTGTAGTTCTAAAAGACTTGTTGAATCTTGCTAATTTCTAATTATTTAAATTTCATTAAAAAATAATGATACATCTTAACAGATTCAGCAGATCAATGTACCAACCGTGCATTAATCAGTTACATCAACCGGACTATTACAGACTTGACATTTAATATGGAATATTTTTTTCCAAATCATTTTTCATCAGTTTTTTTCCTATTTTGCTGACTGATAAATGAAAATAATTTGGAGGTCAAAACCAACCTTTGCCTAAGCCAAGCTTTGACCAGCCCAAAGGAACACTACCCAATTAAATCACTGCATATTACATAATGTAGCATCGCATTAGACATGGAAGTCATTTAATTGGTAGCGACACACCTGACTTCACACTTCTCCATTCACAAATCTTATATGAGATCGGTGTTTTTTTTTTTTTTTTAAGAACGCATTTTACCTAAGTATACCTTCGAAACTGAAATATTCCATATTAAATGTCAAGTCTATAGTTGGACATATATTGAACAGTTGAATCGGGATTTTTTTCAACCATTTTTTCAGTTATATTTAACCAAAGTGTTTTTAGAGTGAACACAATATTCCGAACACTAAATACTAGTATATAACCTGTCTCTCAAGGGTCTCAGAGTTTTTTTTTTTTTTTTTTTTTTTTGGGGGGGGGGGGGATTCTAAGCTAATTCTGAAAAAAAGATGTCTTCACACAAAACCAAGGGGAAAACGTTTTATATTGTGGCATCTGAAACAACAGGCAACTGTGCTGTGTGCAGTGAGTGAGCCCTTACCAATGAACCCACAGAGATCATGTCTGAGAACAGTCGCCCCGACGTGACTAGACAAGCGCCATTAGGGAACACGTTGACTAAAAGCAGACTCTCTTTCAGAACTTAATCTATGTCTCCATTCTATTAGAGCAGTCTGTTAGATCCGCGGATCAAATATGTCCGACCCACTCGAATGCTTGTCTCGTAATCTCCGCGAAGAATCTATTCACTGTATATGGTCGCATTCAGAATTGTGGACTAACTAGTCCGCGGCCAAACATGGCGGCCCTGTAAAAAGCTTGCCGTCTAATCGGCTTAAGACACTGAATAGATTCCCCGTGAGGAAGTATTCAAGTGGGTCGGCCATATTTGACCCTCGGACTAGTTAGTCCACTGTTCTGAATGAGGCCTATGATGTTGCAAGACTGTCATCCCCTGCAAATGTTGTTCTGTAATAAATGTAACAGTACGAGAACATTTTATGTCTCCTCCATCTCAGTGTATCACAAACTTTTATAGTCTCATTCATAGCAAGAAAGAAGGCAACTAGGAATATTGATTGTTCGTGATTTGGCCAAACAAGGCCGCTTTTATTATATAACCCCTCTATCCTAATCGTTTTAACAATAATAACAATGTAGCAAATTATTGCCTGTAGTAAATGTGGTGGGGAAATCCATCAGGTTGTCCTAGAACAGGTTGAGAATATTTTTCATTAGTAGAGAAAAACATCATATTCTAGGAAAGATTGAGAACCGTAAGAGACCGTTAAGTGAGACTAATTTTTGCAGGGGATCAAGCTAAACAATTCAGTGGCTTTTAATTTGTGCCTTTTTATGGACACATAGTGTGTGTGTGTGTGTGTGTGTGTGTGTGTGCGCGCGCGCGCGCGCGCGGGGGTGTGTGTCGAGTACAATCCGTGTGATCAGAAGTACTCGATTTCCCTATTTACAAGTCTGTAAGCATCTGTTTTGCTTGTATTTTTTTTTAAATCTTCCATCATTCTGTGCAGAACATGAAATTTGTATGGTAACCGCAAATAGCACAACCTGTATGGAAACCGCAAAGAGAAGCAATACCTCGATTTTATATTATTTCAAGGTTCTTATGCTGAAAATTTCACTACAAATCAGTTGCAAAGGAGGGACCTTTCTCAACTTCAAATATTATCTAGTAACTTCTTTTAATATATCACCAGGTGTCTTGAGTTAACCAGACCTTTTGGCTATCAACGGTGGCGCCTTGTATGTTAATCTTGATAGGAAAAGATCACCAGCATGTCGCCCATATTGAATGAAGATCTCGTAGGAAACACAGAAAATCTGTCTCTATGGCCATTTTCTGGTGAACATGCCCACACCGTTATATGTTGGGGTTAGAGGTGTTGGATTAAAAGGCCCTTTTGGCTGGAAAAATATGCCATGAATTAATTTAAATCTGGGTTCTATGTTATTTCTAAGTTGAGTCTACAAAAGGGGTAAGAAGGTCTGCTTTAAACACCCTACTCCCCCCCACCCCAACCCCCCACCCCAACCCCCCACCCCCATCCTTCTCCCCCAGTACTTTCTCTCTCTTTTGACTTCCTTCCATACACTAATGTAATGAATTTGCAAGGTGTCATCAATGTTTGCGAAATATCCCCCCTCCCCTTCTCTGAGGACATAGAGGGGTGCAAATCAGAATAATTTACATTCACGTCTTCTGTCTCCACTTGGTACTTGACTGAAGGAGATATAACTTTGAACATCTGTTTTGCGTCTTACTCTGGAATAATTGATTAAAAGCGTTTTCTCGATCAATTTTACACAATCGTAAAGGAACCCATCCCTTAAAAATGCTACAAAGACCATTAGCAGATTGTCGTTTGCGACGCTATAGGCTTAATGGTTGCCAACTAAACTTCGGCCTGTCAAGCGATTGCGGGAGCAAATGAGGAACCAGGGGTCAGGGCACCCCCTCCCTCTTCATCCCCCCCCCCCCCAACTCCTTTATCCCCCCCACTGAGCCAACAGAATTTTGGATCATTTTGTGGATGAGTTATCTTACTGGTTCATTATATCTTTTTAAACTCCGTAAACATCTGTCTCGCTTCTCTTCTATTATTCATGAAATTTACTGTGGGATGTCCTCATTTCCTTATAACTGTGTGCAAACCGCAAATTGCAGCAGTATAAGGTTTTATGCCGTTTCTCGCGTTGTGTCAACTAATGGGGTAAATGTGTTAGGTGTGACATAGAATGAGTGTGTTTTGGATGTGATTCACCACCAAGCCTCACCTATTGTACCATACAAGTTTATAAATGTGTTTGGTATGACATAGAATGAATGTGTTTTTTGGATGTAATTCACGACCAAGGCTGACCTGTTGTACCATAAAAGTTAATAAATGTGTTAAGTGTGACAGGGAATGAATGTGTTTTTGAATGTGACTCAAAACCAAGTCTGACCTGTTGTACCATAAAATTTTATAAATGTGTTAGGTGTGACAGAGAATGAATGTGTTTTTGGGTGTGATTCAGCACAGCCCTTACCGGCAGCTGAGCCACAGTCTCCAGTGATCACATCAGCAGTGGTTAATACTGGACAGTCAGTGACACATCACACATGGCTTTATTCATGTCAATCACAGTGAACAGTTCAAGGTCAAGTCAAGGTCACGTCTAGGTGAAGATAGTGGTTAGATAGAACAACGTTCCATTTCATCATGTATTTAAAACTGCGGTAACTGTTTTATAAACATTTTTTTCTTTCTATTCAATAAATTGATTGCTGGGATAAAAAGATAAACGGGAAACAAAAACGGGAAATGCCCGCAAAAATGAATTTTCTTCGCAGAAAAAAGAAAGTTTCTGCTATTCACGAATCACTGCTTGGCCCTTTCAAACGCGCACAATGTACATTTTAATAGAAATAAAAATGGAAAATACCCTATATTAATGATACATTTTCCATCATTGTGATAAGCCATTGAATACGAAATAAAAATTGTGTCTTGCAACAATTTTGATTGTCCTTAATAATTATAATTTAGCACGCTATTTTGTTTTATTAGACGTGGCGATTTAGTCCGAAAAGTCTCGTTATCCATTCACAGTGCATAAGCAGTATGCTGATTTTTTTTTTTTTTTTTTTTTTTTTTTTTTTTTTTTGTTCTAGCATGAGTTACTGTAAAATACAAGTACATAAATTGTTTATCTTAAAATGATAACAGCTCTTCATGTGATATTCATTCTTCACGATAAATACATTGTAAACAACTCGTAGAAATATAATAAATTCCAATTTATCACCAAAAAAGCTGTATTATAATAATAATCTTCATTAGCTCTAGCACAATTTTACAAAGGCTATGGCCAAATTTCATAGGTACCATATTGAGATAGGTTAATGCTTAGTGTGTATACTTAAATGTAAATTCTGTTATACACCCATTATCAGAGGTGAAAATTAGACTATTTGATACATTCTGTATTTTCATATACTAAAATATACGTTTCCCTCATTTAGTAGGTGGTGGCTGGTAGAGAAAATCAGATCTTCCTTGGTTACATATTGTTATGTATCTAGCTAGGTTGTGTAATGTGTCATGATTTCTGTTTTGCATTAATGATTTGAATTGTTCAGTGTGGTTTGTGTTTTGGACTAATCGTTGGTTTATATTCTTTCTTTGTTTTTCATATTGGGGCCATAGCAACAGGAAGTATATTTCATTCTCTACTCCTTGTCTGCAAAATCTACATATTTCAATGAGTGGAATTTGTGCTTGACGTCAGACCACGTGGACCATCAGAGATGGCTTTACTTCCATAGTAATATCTTACGATTTTTACAAAAAAACTTTTTACAAGAAAAAAATATCGACTAACTTTGAATATTGGAATGTATTCATTGACTATTGGCAAGTATAGGAAAATTGTCGTTTAACCCAGGAAAACCCGTTCTGTGACAAAGCCTGCAGTTTTTATCCATTTTTAAAAATTCCGAACTTTTCAATTGAAATTTTAGGATATGAACATTGAACAAGCATTCCTTTAGAAATAAAGTTTTAAAAAATAAACTATATAAAAGCAAACCTTCTAAAAATGCAAAACATAAATTTTACAGTGGAATAACACAAGGGCATGTATAAGGGCATGTATAAGTCAAATATTTTACTTGTATTTTGTTTTCTTTGAGAAAATTACCACGAAGCAGCAATAACATCTCCTTATTAGCCACTACTGACAGGGCTAGATTTAAAGCCAACGGGACGAAGTTTCATCTCCGTTGTCTTCAGGGAGTGTTTGTGTCCTCTAAATGCACCCCAGTTGACGCCATCAGCAGACGAGCTGCGATCACCCAGGTGGTAGAGGCCGTTCAGATTGGATGCGTGGCAACTTTTATACCACCAGGCTCCCTTTAATTTCTGTGCACAATTCCCTGGACTAGCATCGTTATCCCTGTCCTTTGTGCTAAATGGTTGACCATTGAGAGGGCCCAGTGAATTCCCTAAACATAAAATACGAGATGTGTTACAAGCTTACAGCCATGAAGTGGAAAGCACTGACTAATAGAGCCTAATTGCACACCGGCCCTTGTGTTTTAAAAAGTGTTCATATATCCAGGGGCGGATTGACGTTGTCTACTGGGTCTTCCGGAAGACGGTCAGATTTTCAGATTTGCATTGACGGGTATCTAATTTTTTTCTATCGGAAGACGGTCAAAAATGGAGGATGGATCAACAAAGATAATTTGGAAGACTGTCAGAAACTATCTCTGGATCCGCCTCTGTATTTCGCCATGTGCGTATTTAGAATTAGATTCTTTCTATAAGAAAATCGAGACCACAGATAGAGTGGACTAAGGCGACATTGTTGATAATGGTGGTTTCCTTCATTATGTTATGTGTGCGCTTGTGTGAGTAGAAATGCAGTCACGCATGAGCTGAACATGTGCCCGTGCAAATGAATTAACTGCCTACCTGCGTTCCCAGAGTAAGCGCCGACAGTCAACTTGTAGTTATCTTTCTCTGACGCGATAGCAAAGTTGTCGTAACGGGCGTAGCGCCAAACACCATTCGCATCTTTCATATCAACACGCAGCTCGTATCGGCTTTGGTTAGTGATGGTGTGAATTTGTTCTTTCCCTGTAGAAAAATGTAATGTCTGTTTCAATATTTTAATTCAGTTGTCTATCCATTTGTCAAAAAGGGCCGAAAAATTATATATATGTATATATACTTGAAATAAAGTTGAACTTACTTCGCCAAGCACCATCCGCGTCTTCCCTTTCAACACGCAGCCTGAACCGCTTTAGCCAAGTGATGGTGAAGATATTTTCAAGTCCTGTAGAAATATGTTATGTCTGTTTCAATCTTTTAATTCAGCAGTTTATCGATTGGTCAAAAAGGACCGAAAAAAGATATACACCTGAAATAACGTTGAACTGACTACGTCGAGAGTCCAACATGACACAAAATACCCGATACACACAATATCTATATTCTGTACAACATCACAGCTTTTGAAAATGTGCTACATATATTCTAATTTTCTTCACTCCCAGCGTAATTGATAGCAATTTCTACCTGTAGGACAGAAAACAAATGAAATAAAAGAAAACATTTATCATAATCTCCAAATGCATTTTTTTTTCAAATGCCATTTTTCTGCAGGTTTCAAAATCTCTGTAAAGATTTTATGTTGTTGGGAAATATGGCAAATGTTTAATCATGCCCCATTACCTAACCAGTGTTCCCCGCCCATTTCTCCGAATCCTTGCTTATAATCGTCCCAGGGACGATAGAAGTCCACAGAACCGTCCTCACGCTTCTGGAACACCTGAAAGCACAAAGTGATAGAGGGTACCGGAGGAGACATTATTGTACCGGAAGTGACGTGTAGTGGTGTTAGACGTGAACCTGAGTGTTACGATACTTGAAGGTGCAAAATCGTACTTAATTTGCAGTCAATTTGGTTTAAAATATATGCTGCATCGACCGACAGCGCGACAAAGAGTGTCAAGGAAAAAGAATTCCTGCGAGGCTGTAAATTGTTGTCATGTGGAATTTTTGCATGTATGTAATCTGATAAGCCCATATATAATTATTTTTGGGTGTCTTACGGTCCATTCCTACAGATATTTGGATCGATATATCTCCCTGGGAGTCTCACTAAATTGCTGTAAACTTGGGCGGCTGAAATATCTGTCACGCCTAGTAAAGCTTCCATGGGTAATTATCTCTACCCCCTAGCTGATTTGGTAGGGACGGACATTTAAAAATCGTACCGTCCATCCTCCACCGTCAGTGGTCATGTCACAGTAGACGTTAAATGGACTCCGACTGTCATCTGGTGTTATGGTATACACCCCGTTCAACGTCTCGCCGTCCTTGTACAAATCAGCGCAGTCCCGAACACTTGCTGTAATGAGCATGTTTCGTTATATTCGTACTATCAGCGTAATATATTTGTGTTAATATCATGTTGACATATGCCTTAAAACGAGAACATGTCTCCATTGTCAGCATTCAGCATGTATCATTTGTAAAAAGTTATCTAATTATGGGGGCTCTGAAAAAAAACAGTGATTTAAGTGTTTTTCTAGTAGTTGCCCACATCATAAACAGAAATGCATATAAATATTTCCCACACTTTGTAAAATAAAATAAATATAATATGAATTGAACAAAAGCTGCCATTTTTAGAGAACTGCAACTTACCACCTGGCTTTTCTGCAGTGAAGTTTGCGAATTTCTCTTGCAAATCTGTTGTCATCTGTAGCAGTTTAGAATATTTATCCACCAGATCATCATATCTGTCTTCCAACCGTGTCTGTTCATCTCCCAACCGTTTCAGCTGATCATCGAATCTTACTTCCAACCGTGTCTGTTCATCTCCCAACCGTTCCAGCTGATCATCGAATCTTACTTCCAACCGTGTCTGTTCATCTCCCAACCGTTTCAGCTGATCATCGAATCTTACTTCCAACCGTGTCTGTTCATCTCCCAACCGTTTCAGCTGATCATCGAATCTTACTTCCAACCGTGTCTGTTCATCTCCCAACCGTTTCAGCTGATCATCGAATCTTACTTCCAACCGTGTCTGTTCATCTCCCAACCGTTTCAGCTGATCATCGAATCTTACTTCCAACCGTGTCTGTTCATCTCCCAACCGTTTCAGCTGATCATCGAATCTTACTTCCAACCGTGTCTGTTCATCTCCCAACCGTTTCAGCTGATCATCGAATCTTACTTCCAACCGTGTCTGTTCATCTCCCAACCGTTTCAGCTGATCATCGAATCTTACTTCCAACCGTGTCTGTTCATCTCCCAACCGTTTCAGCTGATCATCGAATCTTACTTCCAACCGTGTCTGTTCATCTCCCAACCGTTTCAGCTGATCATCGAATCTTACTTCCAACCGTGTCTGTTCATCTCCCAACCGTTTCAGCTGATCATCGAATCTTACTTCCAACCGTGTCTGTTCATCTCCCAACCGTTTCAGCTGATCATCGAATCTTACTTCCAACCGTGTCTGTTCATCTCCCAACCGTTTCAGCTGATCATCGAATCTTACTTCCAACCGTGTCTGTTCATCTCCCAACCGTTTCAGCTGATCATCGAATCTTACTTCCAACCGTGTCTGTTCATCTCCCAACCGTTTCAGCTGATCATCGTATCTGCCTTCCAACCGTGTCTGTTCATCTCCAAACCGTTTCACCAGATCATCGTATCGGCCTTCCAACCGTGTCTGTTCATCTCCCAACTGTTTCAGCTGATCATCGTATCTGCCTTCCAACCGTGTCTGTTCATCTCCCAACCGTTTCACCAGATCATCGTATCTGTCTTCCAAGCGTTTCAGGTCGTTCTTCAGGATGTCAAGCAGGGCGGATGTTACTGAACACTCAGACTGGGATGTGTCTTGCACATTTCGGCGCTTGATGCTACAAGAAAAATATTACGTATTTTTAATGCGCCATAAACTTTGAATCAATTTCACAATAGAGGCATTTCTTTTGTCTGCGTGCTGTCTATATATATAGTTATTTTAATCTGTCAAAATATTCATCAAATAAATTCATTTATCATAATGATCCTTTTCACCATGAAAAAAAAACTACCACGTTAATAAGCATTCCATTTTGACAGTATCTCCTATATTGAAGAATGTCAAATATTTTTTTCAATAGAAGATTATAAATAAGTAACGATATTGTACATGAGGAAAGAAGGCTGAGGCAGCAACTTGGAAAGTCATCTGATATTAAATATTAATAAAAGTCAGTGAAAAAATTTGCTAGTTGCTAATATGTAATTCATTATACTAAAATATAATCACTAAGAAGAAACGATTAAATGCAGCACTTACTCATAAGTTTGAATTCCCAGAGTAGCGTCAAGAACACAGAGTAAAATAACAATATACATGTAGGTCAACTCCATCGCTCTTTACGGCATATGTATCCAACAGAAGAACGCAATTCTGATCTTTGCAGCGATATTTAAGGATGATCTAGTCACGCGACACGGTCATTTCGATTTAACACAGAATTTCTGAAGGCGTATGGTGATTACGCATGCGCGAATTTCTGAGAAATCAGCAGTGAGTCAGAAATAGGATTCAGTCGATAAATGTATCTACCGTGCATTAACCAATGACATCAACCGGATTATAAGTTTGACACATATTAAACAGTTGAATCGGGATTTTTTTCAACAGTTTGTCAGTTATTTCTAACCCAAGTGTTTAAGAGTGAAACCATTAATATTCCCAATACTAAATACCAGCACATAACCTGTCTCTCAAGGGTCTCAGATTTGTGTCTTTGGTTGGTGGGGGTGGGGGGGGGGGGATTTTAAGCCAATTCTGAAAGAAAAAGTCTTCACAGTAAACCAATGGGCAAATGTTTTATTATGTGGCATAGCCCATCTGTCTATATTCGTTTTCTGGTGAACAGGTCCATACCGTTATATGTTGGGGTTAGGGGTATTGGATCAAAAGGTCCTTTTGGCTGGGAAAGATCAGCCATGAATTGATTTAAATCTGGGTTCTATGTCTTTCTAAGTTGTATACAAAAGAGATAAGTAAGTCTGCTTTAAAGACCCCCCCCCCCCCGCCCCCTCCACCCAGTACTTTTACTTTCTTTTGTCTTCTATGCATACAGTAACATAATGATTTTGCAAGGTATCATCCATGTTTGCGAAATATTCCCCTCCCTCCCCGTTTGTGGAGGCATGGGGGTGTGTAAATCAGAACAATTTATTTTCATATTATGTCCCAATCAATAGCAATATAGCAATTATGTCACAATCATAAAAAACCCATCCTCAAAAAACGCTACAGAGACAGATAAAATATTACATTTAACGCTTCATAAGCAGATTTTCGTTTGCTGTGCTATAGGCCTAATAGTTGTCTACTACACTTCGGCCTGTCATGCTATAACGCCACATAGGGAGCAAATTAGGAACCAGGGGTCAGGGTACCGACCCCCCTCCCCTCCCCAAACTCCTTTCTCTCTCTCTCTCTCTCTCTCTCTCTCTCTCTCTGTGCCAGCAGAATACAGGACATTTTTGGGATAAGTTATCTTACTGAATTCAATATATCTTTTCTAATTTCATAAACATCTGTCTCTTCTATTATTCACGAAATTTACTGTGGGATGTCCTCATTTCCTTATGACTGTATGCAAACCGCAAATAGCAGCAATATCTCAGTTAAAAATGATCATTTAATTCTTGTTTCAAAAAGTTTTCAAACCAAAGCGTAGCTTAAGATAGCATTTGCACAAATTCTAACTAAACTTTCGTTTCGAGGTAAATAGGCCTGTCAATTGACTTTCCATTCTGGCCCCATCAAATTGTTAGATGAAGATATACATCGCTTGCATGTCGCTAATTGATCGAAGAGCTCGTGGTTACCTTTCTCAACAGACTAGTTTAATGAGTTTAATTGGGTTATTGTCGGGAGGTAACTGGTTTCAAAAGAACCAGTCTTTAAGTCTGAAAAAGACAAGCTATGACTGACAACCTGATATGAGTTCAATACCGTTCCTAACGCTGTGTCAATTAATTGAGTAAAGAGTAAAATCCACTTTGAAATTGCTGTATGTAAATGTGTTAGGTGTGACAGAGAACGAATGTGATTTTTGGTTGTGATTCACCACCACGTCTGACCCGATGTACCATGAAAGTTTTTAAATGTGTTAGGTGTGACAGAGAATGAATGTGTTGTTGGGTGTGATTAAGCACAATCCTTACCAGTAACTGAGCCACAGTCTCCAGTGGTCACATTAACAGTGGTCAATACTGGACAGTGACACATAACACATTGCTCGGTTCGTGTCAATCACAGTGAACAGTTCAAGGTCACGTCAAGGTGAAGGTCAGTAAAGGGTTCCATTTAACCATGTATTTGAAACTATGTTTTATAAATATATATAGGATAAAATTAGCATGGAGTTTGTGCTTGACATCAGACCACGTGGACCATCACAGATGGTTATACCTCCATAGTAATATCTTAGAAGATTATTACAAAATACTTTTTACAAGAAAAAAACATTGACAAACTTTGAATATTGGGATATACACTGTATTCATTAACTATTGGAAGGTATAGGGAAATCGTCTTTTAAACCAGGAAAATCGGCTTTTATACCAAAACATACAATTGTTATCCATTAAAAACATTTCGAACTGTTCAATTGAAATTTAAGGTCATAAACATTGAACAAGCATTTCTTGAGGGCTTCCAAAAATTAAATTACCTTTAAAAATGAACTCTGTCAATGCATACTGTCTATAAATACAAATGAAATTTAACAGTGGAATAACACAAAGGCATTTACATGTATAAGTCAAATATTTTACTTCCATTTTGTTTTCTTTGACAAAACGACAGCGTAATAGCAATGACATCTCCTTAGCCACTGCTAACAGAGGAAGATTTAAAGCCGATGGGGCGAACTTTCATCTCCGTTGTCTTCAGGGAGTGGTGCTGCCCTTTAAATGTATACCAGTTGACGCCATCAGCGAATGACCCGTGATCACCCAGGTGGTACAGGCCGTTCAGATTGGATGCGTGGCAACTTTTATACCACCAGGCTCCCTTGAATGTCTGTGCACAATTCCTACCATCTGCATCGTTATCCCTGTCCTTTGTGGTGAAAGGTTGGCCCTTGTGATTACTCAGTGAATCCCCTAAACATAAAATACGAGAAGAGTTACAGAGCCATGTGAAATGAGAAGTGCTGCATATATGACGTACAGGGGTATTGTACATAGTTCATTGTGTTCTCAAACAAAAAAAAAACGTTCATATATCGCCCAGCATGTTCGAGAGCACAAAAACAGTGAACTAAGACATGGTTGGTACGTATAATAGTGGTTTTCTTTAGTGTGTGTGTGTGAGTGTGTGTGTGTGTGTGTGTTGAAATACAGTCACGCATGAGCTGAACATGTTCCTGTGCAAACATGTATCTAGCTATACCCTAATTCCTTGACAAGACCGATTTAAAAGATAATTTATCACAGTGTGTGTGCGTGTGTGTGTGTGCGTGTCTGTGTGTGCATTTAAGCATCGATGTGCTCTCTAAATCACCGCTTCACTGCTGTTTATGACTGCAATGAAACTTCAAAACAAGATTAATTAATTGTCTACCTGCGTTCCCAGAGTAAACCCCGACAGTCAACTGGTACTTAGCTTTCTCTGACGTGATAGCAAAGTTGTCGTAATGGGCGTAGCGCCAAACACCATTCGCGTCTTCGATATCAACACGCAGCTCGTATCGCTTTTGGTTAGTGATGGTGTTAATTTGTTCATTCCCTGTAGAGAAAGTGTAAAATATGTTTCAATATTTTAATTCAGTTGTTTATCCATTTGTCAAAAAGGACCGAAAATATATTTATACTTAAAATAACGTTGAATCAGTAAACTTTCAATAGAGTCCAAATGATACAAAATACACGATACACACAATATTTAGATTCTGTACAGTGTCAACAGTTTTTGAAAATCTGCAACATATATCTAATTTTCTTCACTCTCAGTGTAATTGATAGCAATATCTAACTGTAGGACAGAATACAAATGAAATAAAAGAAAATATTTATCATAATCCACTTAATGCAACTTTTCATTCAAATGACATTTCTCCTCAGGTTTCTGCATCTCTATAAAAGCTTTATATTGCTCGATGAACATCACGAATGTTTAAAAATGTCTCATTACCTAACCAGTGTTCCCCGTTCAGGTTTCCGAATCCATGCTTATAAGATTGCCAGCCACGATAGAAGTCCACGGAACCGTCCATACGCTTCTGGAACAACTAAAAATATACAAAGTACTTAACAAAATATTTTGTCCAATAACAGGGAAAGGCACTAGATTCAAGAAAAAAGTGACTAACGGCTTTAGAGAAAAATTTGGCGCTCCTTTAACCTGAGAAATGGCCAGACCTCAACAAACTACCAAAAAAACGGAAAATCCTTATGAATCACATCTAAAACATATGATAATTTTACACATAAAAATTAATCTAAGTTTATTGAATTAAACTAAATCATACCGTCCACCCTCCCCCGTCAGTGGTCATGTCACAGTAGACGTTAAATGCGTTCGGACTGTTATCTGGTGTTATGGTATACACCCCGTTCAACTTCACGCCGTTCTTGTACAAATCAGCGCAGTCCCGACCACTTGCTGTAATAAGACAGTAGCATGTTCCGTTATATGTGTACTATCACCGATATGAATTCACGCTTTATCATGTTAACATACCCCCAAAATACGATAGTTACTTCATTGCCTGAGGACATATTTCCATTGCTTTCAGTATTCAGCATATATCATTTGTAAAAAGTGATCTAGTAATGGGAAGTTTCGAAAAAACAGTGATTTAAGATTCCTCTAGTAGTTGAGTTGCCCACATCATAAACAGATATGCACAAATATTTCCCACTATTTATTATATAAAATAAAAGAAATTGAATTGAATAAAGATGGCATTTGCAACTTACCACCTTGCTTGTCCGCGGTGAAGTTTGCTAATTTCATTTGTAAATTTGTTGTCGTCTGTAGCAGTTTAGAATATTTATCCACCAGGTCATCGTATCTGCCTTCCAAGCGTTTCAAGTCGTTCTTTAGGATGTCAACCAGGGAGGATGTTACCGAACACTGAGACTGGGATGTGGCTTGCACATCCCGGCGCTTAATACTAGAACGAAATCATTTTAATGGAGCCATATACATGTACATGTACATATACATATACATGTACTTTGAATGCAACTTCACATTACAGGTGCTTTGATCTGGAAACAATATTCATCGAAAAAAAGCATTTATCATAATGATTTTTTTCATCACGAGAAAAAAACTGCCACGTTTACTAGCTTGTCATTTTGACAGTACCTCCTACTTGAAGAATTTCAAATATTTTTTCAATAGAAAATTATAAATTTATA